GCATCCGTATCCATGATTCAGTTATGACCACGATGTCTATACCTGGATTGCACCGTCGAACCTCTCTCCACTTATCTCTTATGTTGCAAGAATATGTGTACCACAGTGTGACTGTATCTGCTTGAGCATGCCAGCTGGATGGGGAACTCATTTCCGAAGGATCCTCGAGCGTAATGCGCTGTGGCCGTGGCTTTTCTACTTCCTAAGCCATTCCACTTTTCTCCCTGGATATGACTTTTATCGGCATTCCAAAAGCCTCATCTTCCCCCCATAGGTACATCCTCGTTTGCATTTAGAGTACTTAATCTCCGTTGAAATCGGAGACCTGGGGACTTTGAAGCTACTGGGGATTTCGCTATTATTGTCGCCCACGTAACTGGTTCGTCACAGCTCACCGTGGCTTCCTTCTCCGCACCACCAGCTGCAAATGAATTCCTTAGTGCTCTGTCCTGTGTTCGTGATGGGTTAGAATTTACCTTGCAGATCACGGCATTATCCTCTTGAGACCTCCTTTGAAGACCCTTTCATATACATGATTTTGCAGATACACTCTTTGGTACTTTCGGGGTTGATTTGCTCAAAGGCTCTCCAGTCCTTGACTGATCTGGCTAAATTTTGTTGAACATGCTCACCAGTTTCCAACTTCTAAAACAAAATCCTATCAATACATAGATTCAGCTTCAAAGCTGGATCTGTGGAACGCGACATAGGTTGCTACATGTGTATACAAGTATTGTGACCCAATAATGTTAACTCGAAACCTTCTCGGTCTGGTTTCTATATACCACTAGATTTATCATCCAGAACTCCTAGTGTTTTGGCTCCATGCATTCATCTGGATCCTTCTGATTTTCCACTTTTCCACTTTCCGTGGCGCATGCTGACCAGGTAGAAGTGTTCACATTTTAACCCATCTCTAAGCAGTTCACTGGTCGAGCTTCGGAGCTAGCTCAGTGAAACAAAGATCTATTAGGTGAAAACCTACACTAGATTTATCATCCGTAATTCCAAAAGTTTTAGTTACATCCTGTCATGTTGATCCTACTGATCCACTCCTGTGCATTTTACTTTTGAACATAAATATAAATTCGACCAATAAACATCTCCGCATATTCTTTCCCAACACGCTGCTTATCTCCCTCGCCCATTCTCGGCTGGGTATTACCCCAGACTGCCGAGTTTTACCTTCTTGTTTCAGATTCAGTTGGCTAGGGCTTGCCGAAGGCTTGGGGCCTACACCCACAATGGACAATCTGGCTCCGACAAGGTTTGTTGGGCGCGGTTGTATCCACCGTTTTGACTACATGCGTCCGCCTTCCGGACCAGGTTGAAGATCATACCCGTGCCTCACCTACAAGATGTTTTAAGGTTAAGTGTCTAGCATGTAATCAGTCCCACATTAAAGCGACCAACGCCTAGATAACATAAATAATATAAACCAATCAGTCCGTTAACGGTGAAGCCCCGAAAACCATTGATCCTTGTCCTTAGAATACAGTTCATGTAATGTGATCCTTGAAACCGTTTACTTATAATCCATTTATCTTTGTACTGTATCACTGTGTTATTACTTGGCTCGATCGCAGCTCTTCTTCTGAAATTCTAAATCTTTCACGTTCACTACGCTCCTTCATTCTTCGAACTGGCTTCCGTGCATTGTCCCCCGAGCGGATATTTCCACCTCCGGTTCTGTCTTCCTCAATGTTCTTCATAGGACAATCGATTACATCGATATGATCTCCATAACAGATCACTCTCAGTACTCCATTATCTGACCGTGTCCGCTTTGTGTTCTTTTTCACCGCAATGTCCGGTTACGATGTCTTCTATACTCGTTTGAAAATTCCGTTCTTACCCTCTCTGTACCATTACTTCCTGTCTGGACCGTCATTTTTCATTACATTGTTGTACATTTGATCATAAGCTCTAGCCTGCTTCACTGGCTTTGTGAAATATACCGCTATTATTATTATTATCACGTCTTTGGTATGATGGGCGCTTACATTATTCCCTCTTCTAACTGGGTGCATCACCTTGATAGTTCTATTGGGGGTGACTATTATGCACCCCTGAGTAAGATCCTAGAACCTTGAAGCTCGTGGTAGCAGTAAATCTCTTATGTTTGTGTTTAAAAACACTACTAAGAGAGGTCCTGGATCAGGTGGGTTTCCCTTTTTCCACAGGCCAGTTCCATGAAACTTGGTGTATGGGGTTTACTGGGGCAACCTGCTAGCCTAAAATTGTTTTGGCGATGTTCAGCTGCTCGCCTCGGCTTCGCCATGTTTATGAATGGCTCCGTGCAGTTATGCAGGAGCACGTTCTTATTTCTTCCCAACGAAACTATGCTGCTCTTGTTCAGAAACTTAGGTTCTCACTCCAACTGCTCAATCCGTTTAACCATTATCGGTAGTTCGGCTGAACCGCAGGTTTAAACACTGTCTTTTTAACCTTTAAAGTCCTCACGTTCTGTGATTCAACCTCCCCGTTGCGGTTCCCTATGTCTCTTATTTGTGCACTTTTATTTTGGGATGACTCAGAGTTAAGCTCTTCCGGTTTCTCCTTGTTTTCCTTATTCTTGGGAGCCACTGATGTCTTCAGAATTCTCCTGAACTCCTCGGCTAGTGTTTCGCAGTGGTAAAAAACCCACTTAAAGGGCTTGCGCTCCATGTGTAATTGGTATGTCTTTTTACTCATTTTAGAGCATCACTGGTGGTACCACACTCTACAGCCGTCGCACTGAATCCCTTGGGTGACGTAATCTTCGCAAAAATTAGCCCCACACGTGTTGGAACCTTTTGTTTGTGTCATTCCAAGTTAAACAAGAATGTAGAAATGAACAGTTCTCTAACACTGTGAAAGTAAACACGGGGTGATACAAAAACATTAAAATGCGCCCTATCAAATTCAAAAAAATAATGCTTTAGGCCTGCGAAACACCAAATTGAATTCAGAAAAATTGCCTAGCAAAAGGTTTGTGATCATTGACAGATCACGAACGATACTGGTAAACGGAAAACTACTACAAGAGAAATATCAGTAGATATTTCACTGGTACCAGACAAAAGGTGTAAACGAGAAAGAGCACAGTGGAAGTTCAAATCGCGCGCAAACCAAGGGGACGTAGAAGACCTCTAGTTTCGCCCACCGACAAAAAAGGGTGATCATCCAGTAATAGAAGTGACCCTCAGTTCCAGAAAATCCAAAGTACCTAGCCGGAAAATTAGGAAATTCAACAAAATGGACACAAGTAAGGTGCAGGCAAGAGACCTAACTCTAGAATGGGAAGCAGAAAACTATCAAATCACCGTAGAGGCTCTCTGGCGTAGAACCAAAAGTAACCTACAGAAACTCCAAGACGAGTTCGCAACCGTTAAATTTGAAAAAGGTTGTAATAAGCCTCCATGATGGTCTCCGGCAATAAGGAAAGCACAAAGGAAAAGAAATCGAAGCTGGCAACACTACAGAGAGGTCCACACGCAGCTGGCATGGACAAACTACACAGTCCAGAGGAATAGGACAGTCAGTCTTATAAGAGCAGAAAAGAGAATATGAACTAAGGTTAGCGAAAAACGTCAAGCAGAAACCGAAAAGGTTTTTCAAGTACGTACAATCGAAACGCAGCTTGAAGGACGTTATTGGCGTAGTAGAAGATCTCACTCACAGCTCTACAAACTGGTTGGCTTAACGATTAATCAATACAAGTGCATTGAAAAGCGAATCAGGACACATGTCTGTACCCACTTTCCAAGTGGAAACCTACACTAGGTTTCTCACCCATAATTTCTAGAGTTCTAGTTCCGTCCTTACATGTCCACTCGTCTGATCCATTTCATCTCAATGGCCAATGCTGACTAACCATCAGTGTTCACTTTCAACCTGTTTCTAATCAGTACACTAGTCGAGCATCAAAGCTTGATCAGTGTAACGCAAGCGTTTCAGGTGTAAAACTGCACTAGGTTTGCCACCCATACTTCTTGAAGTTTTCGGTTTGCTCTTTCATCTCCTCTCCTCTGATCCATTTCTTCTCCGTGGCTCATGTTGACCAGACAGCAGTGTTCACTTTTCAAATTATTTGCAATCAATACGCTGCAATCAAAGCTTGTTCAGTGGAACACAACTTTTTCAGGTGGAAACCTACATTAGGTGTTCGCCCATAGTTCTCACCGTTTTTGGTCTGTCCCCGCATGTCTACCCGTCTGATGCATCTCATGTTTGTGACTCATGCTGAAGATGGAGCAGTTTACAGTTTCCAATTTATCTCGTTGTGATTTTTTTTCGATGCGCATTTTCTGTTTAATATATATATACTTTCGGTCGTTAGCGCTCTACGCGCATTCTTGGGTAACATGCTGTGTTCATCCTCATCCCTTCTCAGCTGGGTATTACCCCAGACTGCCGAGTTTTGCCTTCTTGTTTCAGATTCAGTTGGTTTGGGCCTGCCGAAGGCTTGGGGCCTATACCCACAATAGATAATTTGGCTCCGACAAGGTTTGTTGGGCGCGGTTGTATCCACCGTTTTGACTACATGCGTTCGCATTCTGGACCAGGTTGAGGATCATACCCCGTGCCTCGCCTACAAGATGTTTTAAGGTTAGGTATCTAGTGTGTAATTAGTCCCGCATCAAAGCGACTAACGCCTAAATAATATAAATGATACAAACCAACCAATCTTTAATGGTAAAGCCCGGAAGCCCATTGTTCCTTGATTACAGAAGTATTTCCAATTTTATCGACATTTAAAACCGTTTATTTGTAAACCATTTGGCGTCTCCTCCTGAATCACTCTGCCTTTCTCCAGCTCCATTCCAGCGTTTCGTCCGAAATCATCAATGTTTCATTTTTACTATACACCTGATCTTCGAACTCGTTTCCGCACATTTTCTCTTGAATGAATAGTCCAAATTCCAGTTTTCTGTCTCGACCATTGTTTTTCATAGGACAAACGTTCACATTGATTTACTCAACATAACGGTTCACTTACAATGCTCCATCATATTGTGATGAAAGGCATTAAAAAGAGAGTCCTGGCTAGCGATCGAATCAAGAATGGGGCTCATCCGACCAGACACGCAGAAGCAGCGGCGGGAAGTGCCTCGCGAGGCAATGTTGACTGCCACCCGGAACGGGCGAATCGACAGTTACAGCCAGACAGACAATGCGCAGCTAACGGGAAAGATACCCACCGAATGCCACAACATCGGAGCGGTCGATCAACGCATCTCATGCCACGAACGGGTCAAACCAGTCGGAATGGCATGCGGAAGAAGAGGCAACGTACGTGCCAAGTGCGGACCAAAACCAACAAGGAATGACCCACAGAAAAAGGCATGAATCATCCCGCCGCGCGGTTGAGAATTTACTATATATAATCTAACACATACACTGTAAGCTTTGCAATTGGATCAATAGAAGGTTTCCCCAGCCATCTCGCCTTCTCGCTACAATATGACCTTTTGCGCTTTGTGTTTCATTTTCACCGTAATGCACATTTACGGTATCTTTCGTAGCCGTATGGGAAGTCCGTTCTTACGCTCCGCACTACAATACAGATGAGGGTGCAAACCCCACGGTCCTTGACCTTCAAAATAAGGTAACTCTGCTCAGCAGGGAGTTAGAAGCCCTTTCGGGCAGGGGAATGAGAAAATGCAACAGAACGGTGTTCCTTCTTAACATCGAGGAGCCCATGGTCAGAGAGAGAAATGGATCGAAGGAGGGTGGTGGATATCCTGAGGATGGTAGGATTAAATCCCGAAAATGCCCTCAAAAGAATGCACAGATTGGGAGTGTGGAAGAACCCTGGGCCGGGTAGGCAAATTTCAACAAGACCGATTTTCGTAGAATTCGACAATCCGGATATGCGGAATCTGCTCCTCACAAGGGCCGGTTGGATAGTGAATCGTAAGCAGGGACGATTTTGGATAGTCTCTGACCAACCAAGGCAGCTTCTGGGGCCCCTGAATCGAGCGAAGCCCCAGAAGCAGATACCAGAAAAAAACGCGGGTAGTGGGTCTTTGTAGATCTGACTCTGTGGCCAATAAAGCGGTCGTCACAGTAGAGGAGTTGTTGGAAGCAGAAGCATTGCAGAGTTGCCTTCAATCTTCAGGAGTAATCAACACAGTAGGTCGACAAGGGGACACCATCTGTGCAGCCAGCAGGCCCCTGAAGGGGGCCTCAGAGTCCAGGGGATAGGATTGCACAATAAGATGTGCAACTCCACGTGAGGAGGTTGATGTAGAGGCTCGAAAAAACGTGGGTTCTCCTCGGGTTTTCCGCCTGAGGAGAAATTCAAAACAGAGAAACGACAGGAGGGGATCACACTGCTGTACACAGATGCTTTCAGTGTCAGAAACAAGTGGGCTGAGGTTCTGATGGCAGCGGAGACCCATAAGACTACCGTGGTAGACATAACAGACATCTGGCTCTTATAGAGTCATCTCAACTCTAGTGTACTTCTAGATAACTTTGTTACCTACAGAACGGATGGAAGTGGCTCTGTACGAGGAGTAGCCCTGATTCTAAGACACCACCTGTACTCAGTAGAATTGAATGCTAAGGTTTTTACTCTCAATGTGCAGCTAGTTGCAGTGAATCATATTATAAATAGCAGCAAAATATCCATTGCCTGCGTATATAGGAGTCCTAGTGCCACACAACCGGAGGACCAACAGACTATCCAGGCACTAAACAACTTTGACACGTGCGAACGTCAATTATGCCGTCGATCAATTCTTTGTCCCACTCTCAGGTGCTTATCTCTTATACGAAGACCAGTATTTACCTCAACCAGATACACATTCACACACGTGGGTGCTCGCCCGCTCGCACACACATACAAACCCCACAACTCATTTTTATTGGTTGACCTGTTAGTCATTGTTCTGTTGTAGATTGTCACGTGACGCATGATTCATTCAGTAAAGCTACGTGCTCTGTTCTTAACGTGTTCTGTGTCTTGTTCTCCGGGCTAGTTACGGGTTAGCTTGTTGTGGTTTTAACAACAACCTAGCTCGTAATTCGACCAGACCGGTCGTAAAGGACGACTTCACTCATAAGTATGTTGACTAGGAGCTCGGGAGGTTTCCTCGAGGTTCAGGCAAAAGCTACCTCGAATGGATTTATTCACGGGCCCCTTATCAGCACTTGAAGCAGGACACCAGGTATTGGGAAGGCCAACAACCGTCGCTGCTGGACCTTATCATGACAACGCAGGAGAAAGAAGGACGAAGTCGAGAGTATCTCCCTCTTATGGGTGAATTTAATCATCTTCTCATCAAGTTTAAACTACCCGGACCCCTTGAGGGAGTGGGAAGGACCTTTGGGTGGATTGACGTGAATCTACTCCGAGCTAAGGCAGCTCAGCCGAGTGGGCACAGTTCGGAGCAGCCCACTGACGCAGAGGAACGCTGAAGTATAATAAAAAACCACCTGATAAACCTCCAAGATGAGTTTGCCCATTTAACCCACAGAGGTTCATGGGAAAAGCCGTCATGGTGGCACGCCGCTGTGTGTAGAATGATTAAACGTAGAAATTGAAGCTGGAAAGATTTTTGAAAGGTTTCCTTCAGCAGTTGCAGAGTGACCTAAGTAAAGCAACCGAATGGGCAACAGTATGAGACCTCACAAAATGCAGAGAAAAGTAACTTACTTTCCCGTGCTAATGAACAGTTGTCAGGTGGAGGAAGTTTCACTTGAGGGATTGTAAGAACCAGCGAAGACTTAGGAATATCGGTGGCGGCATATTTCCGCTGGGAGAATTAGCGTGTGCTGGCTGCAGCGAGGGCGAGAGAACGGTTCATGCTCAAGTCGGTACTGACGTGTAGGAAACCCGGAGTATTCCTCCCCCTGTACAAAGCCATAGTTAGGCCGCACTTAGAGTACTGCGTGCAGGCTTGGGCACCCTTCTTCAAAAAGGATGCAGCCTGTTTACAGAAAGTTCAAAGACTAGCCACCCGAATGGTTGAAGGACAAAATGGTAAGTCATACTAAGACAGGCTAAAAGACTTGGGACTCTTCACGCTAGAAAGGAGGAGACTAAGAGGAGACTTACTGGAGACCTTTGTGATTGTAAAAAGCTCTCGGGAGAAAGAAAAGACAGCATGTTCCAGGAAGCCATTCACTGAGAAACTAGAGGAAATGGATACAAACTAAATAAGCAGCGGTGCAACCTGGTCGTTTGATCCAACTTCTTCAGCAACAGAGCAGTCAACAGTTGGAACCGTTTGCCAAAGGAATTAGTAGATTTAGGAAGCATGACTGCATTTAAGCTCGCCCTGGATGAGCAATGATTAGAGCTCTTTCCAGAATCAGATCTTTAATATTTTATGGAACGCCTTCATGATCCATGTCCCTTGTTCGCCGATGAGGTGAAAGGAGAAGAGCTTTTGCTTTCCTTTTCAGTATGGATGCCGTATTGGAGGCGATTCGCAGTGGTGGGTGCACACCTTATGAGCATACTGCCGGAAGATATCTGGATGAACGTGGCCATTATCAGTCCTGTACCACCTGACCTGACCTGAGTTTTGGGCTTTTGGGTGATCGTAACTCTCTCGAACGAGTTCAACGAGCATCCACAGAGCTTGTCTCAGGTCTCTTCTATGTCCCATATCCTATCCGTCTCACCACACTAAACTTTACCCTCTAAACTCCCACTGCATTCGAGCGGACCTTTTTCTTATTCACCATTTATTCTCCACGGACACGGCAATCCAGTTTTTTACCCCAGGTAGCGTAGATACTCTTCGTGGTCACAGCAAAAACTGTTTAAGCCTCGGCCACGCACCCGAGTTTGTCACTGGTTCTTTACCCATAGAGTCATTCCATTATGGAACAACCTCCAGCAGGAGGTTATTGACGCGCCTTCAAAGCGTATGTTCTAACACAGGCTCGATATCTTTCTCGGTCTTAAACACACTACCACCAAATCCCATTAGTTGCTCGATCTGTTCACCTATATCTCCATCCACCGTGTTCTGGGTTTAAATGCATTTATCCCAACTGCATTGAGTCATAATTTTTGTACTTATTGTGTGTTTTTCTGCATGCAAAAAACAAGAAAAACAAAAACAAAACAAAAACGAAACCATATGTAGAAAACAGAAAACGTATTTGAAAACAAAGTGTCGTAAATTTCCTCCGTATCTCTAGGCGTGCATTAATTAAATTTTACCTACGTGCATGTAAAAATAAATTCACTAATCAGATGCACATATATTTGCACTGCAAGCAGATACTGCACTCTCCCCTGCCCTCTTCTCTTTCGTGTTCTTCCTTTTAATTACCTGAATCCCCATTGAATTCCCCTCCCTAGTGGGTCGTGCTCAAATTCTCATTAGTGGGCATGATCCATGACCCATGACTCGAAAACCGACAAACCAAGATCCGAGACCATTGGGTTTATCCTCGAACCCGTGAAATACTTCAAGACTTCAAGACCTGGCTGACTGTATTCCCTGATTTGGAGTGATCAGTGCAAGGTAAACCATAGGCCATCCAGAGTGTCCCATGTGAAAGTTAGTCTTACATCTTGTTTAGTTTTCTTTTTCCTATCACACTTCTATTCTGTGACAAATAACTCCTATTTTCTTTTTTTATGAAATAAAACTCTTTACATTCTCCCAGTCTTGATTTACACTTTATACTTACCCGCCGGTGGAGCGTGTCTGACTTGTATTTCTCGCATAGAAACCGGTTCAGATAATGACTCTTTGTTGACTGGAGCCTACTGATATTACCGATTGATCATTCCAACATCTCATCTGCACATCAATCTGCCCGTCATCCAGAAACCCGAAATGAAGGTTCAAGAATTCTCCTGCAGTCGAAGCACAGTGGGATCGCACCAGAACCACAAGTGCAAGGAACTGGAGTGGCATAAGCTGCAAGTCCTGCATATCCGAGTCGACCTGAACTGACCTGAACTGAACGGTACGTACCCAGTGTACGTCAACCCATTCCCATTTGACTGACGTGTAGCCGAAACCGATACGAATTCCGAAATAAAACACGATTGATGCGTAATGTTCTACGGTACTGAATTAGCCAAATTATTACAAATGTGCAATAAAGCAAACCTCAAATATGCGGCCAAAAGCACTCGAGCAAGCGAGCCAAATATGATGTCCAGATAGAGCCAAACAGTCGCTCACGCTCTCTGACTACGCACGATTCAAATGTGCCGGGCATTATATTAACAGATAAATAATGATGTATGGTGTTTGTGATTGAGAAATTTCATAAGAGAAGCAATACACAGATAGAGTTATGTCACCATAAATCATCATGGGTTTGGAAGGATTTTCAAAAATTCAGCATG